CTTCATGGAATCAGCAGACGTTTTCAAGTTTGAACGCACTTGATGGTGAATATCACCCATCCTTTCAGATAACTCTGACACATTTTCAGACAGCTCTTCGTAAGGTGGACGTCCTGTTATCAGATCCACTGGCTACCGAAGTTCCCGACCAAACATCAACTTTGCTGGAGTGTATCCAGTGGCTTCATACTCTGCTGTTTTATAGGCCATCAACAGTGGAGGGAGTAAGACACCCCAGTCATCTTGTCGGCTATTACAAAACTTTGCCAATTCCTGTCCTAGTGTCCAGTTGTACTTTTCTATCATCCCATCAGACTGTGAGTGAAGTGGTGTTGTCCTGGTCTTTCGTATGCCAAACAATTTGCAGCATTCATGGAACACAGTTGATTCAAAGTTATGGCCTTGATCTGAATGCAGTTCGTATGGCATACCAAACCTGAAGAAGAAATCACTAATAGCCTAAGCTACAGCTGTAGCTTCCTGATTTGTTATTGCATATGCCTCAGGCCACTTGGTGAAATAATCCATCACCACACAAATGTACTGGTTTCCAGCACGAGTTTGGGGCAAAGGGCCAACAATGTCAACGGCTACTCTTTCCATTGGTGCACCAACTTGAGTCCCTTTTTAGCATAATATGTACTGCATGTTCTGCACCATTCTTCCACATGCTGCCTCATACCTATCCAGCAAAATCTCTGTCGTAGGTGACTCAATGTCTTCTTAACTCTGAGATGTCCTCTTGTTAAGCTATCATGGGATTGACGCAGCACAACTTCCCGTAACTTTCTCGGTATAACTGTTTGCCAGGTCGTCACTTTCCCATCTCCAGAGAAGAATACCATCGTCAAGCTTCAACTGGTCCCATTGTGCCTAATAGTTTTTTGTCACAGGGCTTAAGCTAGACACTTTCTCCTAAGCAGGGTGCAAAACACTTGCTTGTAGAAAATCAATTATTGTCTTTAAATCTTGGTCTTTCTTCTGCTCTGATTTAATATCTATTCCTGGTTCCACTTTACCATAATCAACTCCTTCAGTCACTTTGACTTCAGCTTGATGACATCTGGTTAGTTCATCCTCTCTTTTGCAGCAATGTCTGCAGTCATTTTTGCAGGGTCTTCGGCTCAGCCAGTCGGCATTTCCATGATATTTTCCTTCTCTGTATTCAATGTCATAATTATACTGGTCTATCTTTCCAATCCAACGTACCAGTTGTCCCTCTTGGTTTTTTAATGATTTTAACCAGCGTAATGCAGCATGGTCTGTCGTAATGGTAAACCTGGCAACATAGAGGTAAGGATGGAGATATGTCAGACTCTTCACTATAGCAAAGAGTTCCCTCCATGTTACACAGTAGTTCCTCTCTGGTCTACTCAAAACCCTACTGAAGTAGGCCACCACATATTCGTTTTTGCCCACTTTCTGAGACAACACTTCTCCAATTCCGACATTACTAGCATCACAATCCAGTATGTATGGCAGTGGGGGATTTGGAAACTTTAAAAGTGGAGATGAGGCCAATTTTTCTTTCAACGTCTTGAAAGAATGCTGGTAAGAAACTGTCCATTCGAACTTCTGGCTCTTTTTTTGTCAAATCATGTAGTGGAGCAGCTATAGTTGC